TCAAAAACTCAAATTTAGCTTCCAAGTGTGCAGAGGTATTACGTAAGACAACGTGAGATTTTTGATGTGAAACTCACTTGCTCGGAAGCCGGAAAGCTAGAAGATTGAAATTTCGAAGGGTGTTTCCCATCCATGTTCTAAAATCCAGCTTTCACGTACGGGCACGTGAAATTTTTAGTGGGAAATTGCTTATCTTAGGAGCCAAACAGCATATTTACTTTTTTTCCATACATGAAAGTGTAAAACAGCTACATTTTTAGTAAGCAAACGTCCGCTGAACGGAACTGCGCATAACGCATGATCGCACCGGCTATTCTGGTGCTCTTCGCTATATATTGCTGGCTGTAGCAGCGTTATAGCGTTGCTATAACGTTGCACTGCAAAAACGCATAACAACGTGGTCCAAAAACCTCAAATTTCCAAAATTTTATTTTGCTGCTATAAAAAGTGATCGATGGCTCAAAATAAAATAAGTCCTTCTAATCCATGGTGAGCATTCATCTACAGGCTGATTTTCTAGCTCCTAAAAGAGGAAAATTATGAAGTTGAATGCAAGAAGTGGTAAGAATGTCATGGCGGTCAATTGGATATTCGCAGCAGATTAACGTAAAGGAACATAACAGTGCGGCCCTTTGCTAATTTCCACCTATGATTACTGAAAAGAGACATATCTGCTCTAAAATGCACGATATATCTCGCATCGCTATCTTTTTGTTCCAAAATGGGCTGTCTCGACCATAGGCCCTCTATCTGAAGAAAAAGAGGACCACGAACCCATCATCCTCGAGCATTTTCCGTCCCCATCATTCTCGAGCACGATACCTCCGAAAACAAAAGCAGTAACTTGCACGCAGTTTAACGCGCTTTTGTTGTATAGTACTATAGTGCTGCTACAGTGAGCAAAAACGCATATCGTCGAGAGGCCGTCCATGTGTGTATGCGTTCGGAAGCAAATGAATTTTGTCACTCGCTTTCAATATGGCAACCAGGAAGGCTGGGAGGCTAAAATTTGGGGACATCTGTGTCACCCTATGTGTCGCCCTCCGTTTTAAAGTCTTCGCACATACGCTCCTAAATCTCGCATACGAGCCCCGAAAAAAGTATACAATTTAAGATTTAGAATTCCTTGTTAAAAACTTAAGATCAAAGTAAAAT